TGAATTTTACTATTAGAGTGCTTAGCCTCACATGTAGTTCATAAGATTGTGAAAGAAATTAGAGCACATTTTGAATCGGTAATATTTTTTTTATTTCTTTAAAGTTAAATTATTACTTTTTGGTTTCATAATCACCACTTAAAATTAATATTTTTTTTATCTGAGATTCATACTAAGAGCGTCAGGTTGGAGCACAAGAGGTTGATATATGTAAGATACAATATTAGATTGAGGAAGAGATATAAAAGAAGAAAATAAGACATTGATCTAATGCTGATAAATGATACGAACTCAGAATCACAAAATAATACACACTGAAGAAAAAAAATTATATTATCACAAGAAAAGGAAGATGAATGAAAGATCAAGTTTCATTTACATTTAATTGTTCTTTACATAAATATGCATCCTTAATTTCTTATAGAAAAAAAAAATCCTAAATATTTAGAAATGACTATTTTTGTGTTTATAATTTAGGCAATAATGATAAAGAGAAACAAATTATGAATGCACTTCAGATTGAGCATAATGATGACTTTAATGAAGTGGACAATAAATGTAGACAATATGAAGAATCTAGTTTCGAATTGGATACAACTATTGGTGAAGAAGAAGAAGATTTTGATGACGAGTTTTGAAGAATAAATAACTTTCAAAGATTAAGATTGAAACATGTTTACTTAATTTTATATGAGCGAGAGATTAAGATTGAAATATGTTTACTTATTTTTATATATGCGAGATATGAGGGAGAGGTGGGAGATCGGCTTAAGCAGGGATGAACGCCGAGGTCGCTTATGTCCAGGAAAACAGTGGGGAGGCGAACGGACAGGAAAAGCGGCCGACGGCTTGGTATGGGTGGAGTGGAGGTGGAGATATGGGCAGCATATTGGAGAGTAAATATTAACCGGTGACTTGGTTTGGCTGCAGAGGTAAAGGAAGGTTTAAATTTTTATTTTATTTTATTTTTATTTTTTATTTTAAATATCTCAATTTAATTGTCAATTATTCGTGCACGAAAACTCATCAATATAGTTATCTTTTTCAAAGTAAATTAGACGTTCTGGACATGATGGTGCAATCAGTTTCGTGATTGAGGGTCGTTTAATTAATTTTGAGTGGTGCTAGATGAATTGGTAATTTAGGCTTAAATTAGGCATATCAATCCGAAAGCTTGTGGTTTTCACCCGTTTTGGTCATAGAAGATCTCTCATTTAGTAATTTTGGTATTCTGGACCCACTCGTGCGGTTTATTTTCAAACGGAGGTCATTTTGGTGACTTTGTTGACATCGAGATGATTTAAGTCTGAATTGTGTCGTGGCCTATCATTCAACCGTGCTCGCTTCTTTCGATCAAAAAAGACTTTGTTTAATTTTAATATTTTGAATTAAACTATGGGGTCCATTTTGCAAGTGAGCATTATTTTAGAGGAATTTATACTCCAATTTGAACACATAGTGTCACGTTCTTTATTTGTTACTCTCACCATATTCATCAACTTGTCTTATGGAGTATATACGAGGGTCAACAAGTAAATATGAAAGTTTACTGTGACATATATAAATTAATAAAAATTCTGTACTATGTATGTAAGTGCCTCTTTTTTTATTGCAACTTGGAACAAATTCTACATTAGATTCATGAACAAAACTAAATGCTCAATTCCTCAACTTCATGACTTCAATGGTGCGAAGCAATGTTCCTAATAAATAGCTCAAAATAGGTTGTGTTCGGTTGTGCCTCCAAATCATGAGTTAGAACTCAACCGGTCTAACCCATTCGTTACATGACTAACTCAATTTTTTTTATCAAGCCATTTCAATATAGCATGTTTAACCCAATTTCAACCTACACGAACCCAAGTTGTAACCATGTTAATTTTGAGTTAATTTTACAATTTAAATTAACCCCAATTCCTATTAGGATAATTAAGTCTATATTTCAGTAAAAAATACCCAGCTCAAATAATAGACAGATTAAGCTAAACCTCAATTTATTGTCACGTTTGAGCCGAGTTATTTATTAGAGACCTTTACATACTTACCACACAATTCTTATATATTTAGCAATCTAACACTTACAGTTTTTTATTTACATTTATGACACGTTGGTGTTATAAATATATTTCATTTTTAAAGATAATTAATGGTGATAATTTTGATGTAATATTGAAATTTTAAGTGTTTTGCATGTAAATATATTAAAATTAATTTGGGTGATAGATATATGAATACATCATATTTTTGTGGCATGTACGTAAATGCCCCTATTTCAATTTTATGATTTTGAGCCCCAATAAAAATATGAGAGAAAATTAGGTTAGGATATTCTAATTAAAATTGCATCATAATTAAATTAAAATTTTCAAATTGTATTTAATGTGGCTTAAAAGTTGCAAATGAGATGGTGACATTGTGGTTATTAGCAAGGTTATGGAAACCGAGCCGAATATTGAACCGAAAAAAAAATGAGAGGTTTATGGTTCAAAGGATGAACCAAGGTTGAATCGGGGTTGAACCGGATGTCGTAATAAATTGTTGATTTTTTTTTAATGTGACATAAATAATTTAATTAAAAAAATAATTGTGAAATATAAAAAAAATATCTCAATGTTTAAATAACCAATATCATAATAAACTATGCATGTTATTTTAAAAGTTAATAATAATTAAGTTTAAAAATTTAAATATGAAATATAAGAATCACATTATAATAATTTTTTTAAAAAAAAGTTATAATGTATAGAAATTAAATGTTGTAATCTTTTATTAAGATTAATATTGCATTAATAATATAATTTTTTCGAGCAAAAACGAGTCAAACACAAATGAACAAATTTTTGTTCGTGTTCAGCTCTTTTATATATCAAGTGCAATAAAAATTTTTTGTGTCCGACTCATTAACTTAGCGAACGAATTGAACGCGAGTTTCTTAACGAGCCGAACATGAGTTTTTTTATGAACAACGAGCCGTTTTGACAGCCCTTGATCCGGTTGTTCAAGTAGTTGTGGTCGGTTCAATTGCAAAACCGATTATTTAATATATTCGGACCTGACTAGCTAGCGATTCATTGTCGAACCGGCAAATCCTGTCCGGTTTTCTAAACATTGGTAATTAGTCATCTCTTCCGCACCCAAATGTTTCATACTATGATTAATACAACAGCATTTTTTATTTAATTATTTGGACAAAAGTCATGTTTCAGTTGCTGAGATTATTCAACAAAATATTTTTTTTGACAATAGCATGGGCTTGACAAGAGTTTTATTGTGAATGGATTGTGGAGGGAACTGAAGACTAACCATAGCTATCACACATTATATATATTCATTATATATATATATATATTCATTTTATGAAATTA